CTCTGGTGGCAGGAGGTGGGAGGAAATTATACATTTATTTTGTTAGGTTTGAAATAAATTTTATTCTGACTTAAAAATTTGTATACAGTTACCTACCAAAGTAGATTTTTATTTATAAATCATAGGACTTAATAATTTATCTCTCTGACATTTCAGAACTTTAGAATTGACTTTGATTCCACTGTCAGTCATCCATGTCCTGTGAATATTCCTGAGATTTGTTGATTTTCTTTTGAAAGGTCTTTCTGTGTTTTCCTATGTTTTAATTCCATTGCCAGTCAAGACTTCCATCCTTTCCTAGCCAGATTATTGCAACATGTTTTTTTCCATATTGTTTTCAAGCCCATCTTATACCTTTTACCAGACCGATCTCTCTAAAATACTTTCATCTATACATTTTATTGGCTCCTCACTTTTTATAATACTATCTAAGTCCTATCTGACTTTTGGGCCTCTCCAATAAAATCACACACAGATCACACAAAAAGAACATATATTCCCCTCTTTATTATGTGTAACATCATTCTTTCTCCACTATCTCTTTTTAGATGTGTCAGCTTCTTTTAGCTTTTCAAAACTGCTGTACTTATACCCACCTCATTCCAGTTAGGTATTTTTGTTTTTTTCAGTGTCTCCTATAACAGGCACTGGACTGGGTCCTTATTCATGGTCTTCTCTCTGCCTGAAATGTCTTCCTTATCCCTTCCTATTTCCATCAGTCCAAATTTTGTCTGTCCTTCAGTGCCTAACTTAAGCATTATTTTTTCTTTGAAGCCTCTATTTATTCCCCAAGTTGAAAGTAATCTTTCTTTCCTCTTTTGAACATTGATCGCACTTTAGTTGTACCTTTTAGGGTATTTAACTCTTAGTACATTATGTTATTTTTGTACTTGATACTAGCTTCTTGAGGGTAGAGACATTGTCTCTCTAGTTTTATAATTATCCTAACATCTCCCACCACCCCACCTCAGTTCCAGCCTTGTACATATAATACAGTACATTCTTGGTAAATGTTCGTTGAATGAATAAGTCCTTTTTTTTTTTTTTCATGTTGCCCAGGCTGGAGTGCAGTGGCTATTCACAGTTACAATCCTAGCACACTACAGCCTCGAATTCCTGGGCCCAAGCAATCATCCTGCAGTAGCTGGGACTGTAGGGGCATTCTGCAGAACCTGGCAGTAAATCTTTATTTATTTATTATTTTTTATTTCAACATATTACAGGGGTACAGATGTTTAGGTTACGTATGTTGCCCTTGCCTCCCGCAATAAATCCTTATTTTTAAAGTATAACTTAACTTTGCTATGCTTTTGAAAGTTCTTTCATTACTTTAAAATCCTTTCATTATGACTTCATAGAGAAAAAAAGTCAGTAATTAATTTTAGAAATTATAACTAAAAACAACCTACCCAGGCTGTAATGGCCATAATGTAACTAGGTATAAAATGAGAATCTAAAGCTATTTTTAAAAATAATGAAAACTACATTCCTAAATTTAGAGTATTCTATTGTGACTAGAATACAAAGATAATGTAAGGTTTTTGCTGCCTATTTAATGTCTAACATTGGTTGCAAAATTAACTATAGTCTTGGAGTGTATAAACAAGTATGTGTTCTAAAGAAGGTATTAGGAGTATGCTAGAAAATTTCTGGGAGTAGGAGCAACATTTGGAGATGTAGAATTATTGACTCCTTAACCAAATGGGAATTACTCATTTGGTTGTTATAAGTTGGGTAGTCCCTGGAATCTTTCTTTCCTTTCTTTCTTTTTTTTTTTTTAAATGAAGGAAATTAGAAGTGGAGAGTATTTTACTAGGAATAATTTCTGTTTATAGGAAGTAATTTTTCTTTAATTGGTACCTGGCCAACTTGGAAAGTTTCTGTGGCATTGGCAAAATTAGACATATTTGGACTCTGAAAAGGAAACCTCTGATAATGTGCGCTAAAGCCATATTACTGTTCAGAAGCATAAATGAGAGAGTGTAACAGTAAAAAAAAAATCTAAGAAGTAATATAGCATTGGGGTAGAGGCTTTGGAGAATGATAGGACTACATTTGAGTTCTGTCACTTCCATTTAGTAGTTGTGTGACCTTGGGCAAGTTACTTTATGTCTCTAAATCTGTTTTTTCATCTGTCAAATGGGGATAAAAATAACTCAAAGTTTTGTGAGGATTAAATGGAATCATGCCTGTAAAATATTTGGCACAGCGTGACTCACTGTTGTACACAGTCAATATTAGATACTATGATGGTGATATCCTAGGTCCAGATATAAAAAAATTTATCCATGGATCTTTAGGATCTATTATAACATGTTTGACATGCCATGTTGTGGTCGTTAGACTCAAATTAGTGTACACATAGGTAGATTTATGAGTGACTGATGAGTGAGTAGAATTAGAAGTTCTATTTTTAGTTTTCCCATAGGATTTCAAGTGCAACCAAGAAACCAAAAAAAATGGGTCCAGGCTGAAGTTGGAATTTATTTCCACAGAGATACTTTTTCTGTCAGAAAATAGGATTATCCATTTATTGAGCAATTACTAAAAACCAGATGTATTAAATTATTTAAAGGACATGTTATTTTATTCAGTCACTACAATCCAAGGCAGAAAGAGTTTGAATAATTTGGCCAAGCACGTACTGTGTTAGGAACTTATAGAGAATTATAGGGAAATGGTAGGAACTATTAGGAATTTGAATTCCCCTCTCCTTTCAAATCATGTAGTCTACATTTGTATTCCTACTACCTCTCTCAACTTGAGGAACTTTGAAAATTCTCAGTGGCCAGGCCATACCTCAGACCACTTAAATCAGTTTCTAGGGGTGAGTCCTAAGCATAAGTATTTTTTAAAGTTTCTTAGGTCTGCGGTCCCCATCCCCAGGCCACAGAACGTACAGGACAGTGGCCTGTTGGGAACCAGACCCGGCCGCACAGCAGGAGGTGAGCGGCAGCAAGCAAGGGAAGATTCATCTGTATTTACAGCTGTTCCCTATAGCTGGCTTCACCTCATAAACTCTGCCTCTGGTCAGATCAGCAGCAGCATTAGATTCTCACAGGAGTGCGAACCCTGCTGTAAACTGTGCATGCAAGGGATCTAGGTTGCACGCTCCTTATGAGAATCTAATGCCTGATGATCTGAGGTGGAGTTGAGGCAGTGACGCTAGTGCTGGGGAGTGGCTGCACAGTAAATGTAAAGGGCTTGATCAGCCTGAAACCATCACCCCCATTGCCCCACCTTCCCACTCCCCACACCCTCTCCATCCCCGCCTCCATCTGTGGAAAAATTGTTTTCCATGAAACCAGTCCCTGATGCCAAAAAGTTTGGGGACCACTGCCCTAGGTGATTTCACTGTTACAGAGATTGAGAACTACTGACCTGGCTCAATGCCTAGAACAGAGTGGACATTCAATAAATGCTTCACTGTTGAAAGAATACACTCCTGATTACCCAGTTGGCTCCATTGTAATTCTTCCCAGTATTCAAGTAGTCAACCAAGAGTGCTTTTTTATCAGCTTAAGTTTTTAAGAGGGGCTTTGTATTACACTTTGTAGGTATTCTCCACTCAGCCCCATGACATATATGGGAAGATATCTCGTAGGAGGTAATGTTTTGCTGCTGACAGAATTCTGAATTTCCTTCATTACTGGGAAGAAAAATAGGTTGTAAATAGGGGAAGGTTCAGGGTTTTTTTTCCTGTGCTCCATCCAAGGTTGAAGACATAGGCTGTAAATAGACATTGGTTATTTTTGTTTTGTTTTAAAGTAAATTCATAGTTTTAAATACTGCATGGTCAAAAATCAAAAGACAGAAAGGGATATACACCAAAAATTTTTCCTCTCATTTCCCAATCATACAACCCCTCACAGGATACTATCAGTATTATGTCAGTGTCCTACCAGAGATACTGTAAACATATATAAATAATCAAATATAAATATAAATAATATATATTGCCCAGTTTTATCCAAGTCATAGAATGTATATCATGTTTGTCTTTTTTTTTTAACAGTGTATCTTGGAGTTATTATATATCCATATACAAACCACAGAATTTTACCAATGCATGATTTCTTCATTTTTACAACTACTATGTACCACTATTTATTTTAATCAGTCCCCTGTTGATGGATATTTAGGTTGTTTTCAACTTTTCTCTATTACAAACAATGCTATGTTGAATAGATAAGTCATTTCACTTCTGTGTGAGCAATTCTGATAAATTCCTAGGAGTTTATGATATTACTATTGCTAATTTGTCTTCCATGAAGGTTTCCTAATGTTGATTGGTTGAGAATGACAAAGAAGCATGAAAGAGTGTGAGAGATTAAAGTGTGAAGAAGGAATAGTGACCAAGAATGATTGTATTAATAGTAGGAATGGTTTTTGTTTTTTGTTTTTTTGGAGATGGGAATCTTATTGTGTTGCCCAGTCTGGTCTCGAACTCCTGGGCTCAAGCAATCCTCCTGCCTCAGCTTCCTGAGTAGCTGGGACTACAGGTGCATGCCACCACACCTGGCTAAATTTTTTTATTTTTATTTTTTAGAGGTGGCGTCTTGCTTTGTTGCTCAGGCTGGTCTCAAACTCCTGGCCTCAAGCAATGCTTCCGCCTCAGCTTCCTGAGTAGCTGGGATTACAGGTGCAAGCTGCTGCACCTGGCAGGAATGGTATTAAAGTGGGTTAGGAGGAAAAGAAGGAGCTTACAGCCAAGAGCAACTCGCAGGTTTTGTGGTGTATATATACATGGAATTTGTGATTAAAATATATTAACGAATTTTCTAGAATCCTAAACTTTTTATCTTAAATCTATATTTGAACTTACTTAAACACATTTTTAATGTGTACTTTGTGATGAGCTCTTTATATCTTTAAGAGAAAATACCTTTGCTATTTTCATTTCAGATTTACATTTAGCATTTGTTGACCAAGATTTTATCTTTTCATACATAACTATTTTTTACTTGAAATGTCTCTCTCTTTCTTTTTTTTCTCCCTAGCCCTGGAAGAAAGCGGGACTTTTCCCCTGTTCCTTGGAGTCAGTACTTTGAGTCCATGGAAGATGTAGAAGTAGAGAATGAAACTGGCAAGGATATATCCTTTGCAATGGCTTATTCTTTAGTGAGTTTATGATGTTGTCTAAGTTAGAAGACTTGCGTAGTTTCTAAAATGTTCTTTATTCTCCCCTTGTTCTTTGTGGAATATTACCTGTAAGTCCATGCCAATATCTTTCTTGGCTATAATTATCCAGTGCACAGAGAAGGGATTAAGAATTAAATTCATGAAACTGATACACTATATCTCTTAAGGGCCCTGGTGAAGGTTTCATAAATCGGGTGAGTTGAACTGATTTCATTTCTATTATAGAAACCAGAGACTATGTCCTCATTAAGGCAAAGGGAATACTTTTTTTTTCATTGAAAAAAAATGGTCACACTGGCTTTATGCTTCAAAAACCCAGGGTCGGGGTCTCGGAAATGTTTAAGTTTCTCTTACATTTGGAAGACTGCAGTTTTGTATATAGGTTAGTGCTGCTTGAGTTTTTTACTCAGTGTTATTATGATTAAATAATCAGAAACTTAAGAGAGCCAGAACTTCGATATGTTATCTTTAACTATTCATACACTTTTCGAGTTTACAAGAGTGGTTCAGAGGGTCCAGTGCTGCTCCTTTTGCATGGAGGAGGTCATTCCGCCCTTTCCTGGGCTGTGTTCACGGTAAGTTATTGATAGTAGAAGTTGATGTTAGCACTATTGAAGTCAATTAAAGGTAGAGACAAATCTCTGAAATTAAGGTGTTTTATTTGGGAAGCAATAATTGCATTTTGGGACATGCACACAAACCGGGTGGTCTTCGATGTATCTGAAGAACAAAGAGAAGGTTGGAGCGTGTATTAAAAGGAGAAGAAATATGTATTATTCTTTAGGAAGGTTCATTGAAAGTTTGGGGGAACTGGCAAGTCCTGATTGGTGAGCGACTGTGGTGGGTAAAACTAGTCTTAGAATCGCAGTAGGTTGTGTCAGTAGCTAATAGGTAAAACTGGTTTTAGGTTACAGCAGGCAGTTTCAGCAGCCAGACTTGCAGAGAATTATATTCTTGTAACAGTGTTATGTACCCTGAGTGTTTTTTCCCTCTTGGCTCTGTTTTAGTTGGTTGTGACAAGAATGACCCAGTTTGTCCAATCAACTTTCACAGTGCAATCATTGTTTTACTTCTGGATGAATCTGAGTATCTAACTCTTCCTTTTGTGCTCACTTATATTGCTTGATATAAGAAGGTGAGGGATGTAGTAGAATCCAAATGTTTGTCATGGTAGACTCAAAATCCCCTGTTCTTTAAACCAGAGGTTCTTAACTGGAGTAAGGCTTAGTGCGTGAATTCGTCAGTTTATAAAATTTTGTATGTGCATTGCAATGAGGGGGAATGGATTTGTGCCTTGTCAAAAGTGGGGATCTGTATCTGAGTAATACAAGAGATAAGCAGACATTTTATTCAGTTGCTTTAGATAATGTCTGTCACTTTATTTGTCTGTCATTTAGAACCAACAGAGTACTTTGCGTATGGAGGTATCTCATAAATATTTGGAAAATATTTCTTCTTTTGTTGAATGATTCTTTATAATTTAATGGTACTTGTGAGCTGCTAGGGAGTAAATAATATTTGGTTGATCATTCCCTGGTCCAGGGTAGGGGATGTATGTCTGTGTGAATGCTACCAGTTGTAGATCTTCCTCATATCCTTGACTCTAGGGTAGGGCAGCCCATGTACAAGGAGAGATACTGCCATGGAAGATATTATCAACTTCTATGTTTAAAATAAATTTGCTATCTCTTATGTGTATTAAGCAGATATACATACGTCCTCTGTTTACCACTAGGGAGCCTGAAGGACAGAAAGTGGGAGAGCAGGTAGGAACACAGCAGCACTGGCCACCTGGAGCCAAATGGCTGTGGAGTTGAGGAAGGCCCTGAACATTCCACTTTGTACCTGGCAGTGGGGATTATTGGGATTAAATGTAAAAGCACCTCTTGTCTCTTCCGTTAGACCATGAATTCCTTGAAAACAGGGATAATGTCTTATTCTTTTTGTTTCCCAAATGCCTGAAACAGTTCTTGACACATAGGCACTTATTCAATAGTTATTAAATAATTTGGCCCACATCTTATTTGGTACTTCCTTCTCTTACTCTAGGATAAGCTGTATGATATGCCTATAAGTGCCAGACTCTCTTATGGCTCTAGACCAGGGCTGTTCAATAGAAATATTAATATAATACAAGCCACATATGTCATTTTAAATTTCCTAGTAGATAATTCAAATAGATAAAAAGAAACAGGTGAAATTAGTTTTAATATGTATTTTATTTAATCCATTGCATCTAAAATACCATTTCAACAGGTAATCAATATAAAAATTATTATTGAGATATTTTACATTCTTTTTCATACTATCTTTGAAATCCAATAGGTATTTTATACTTAGAGCATATCTCAGTTTGGACTAGCCACATTTCCAATTATAGCTTTAGTCATTTATATTCCTCAGATAGATTGATAGGTTTTTTGGATGCAGAGACCCTGGCTTATTTATACCTAGTACATATTGTATGCTCAAAGAATGTTTTTTGTTTTTTCCAAGGAATGTTTTTTGAATGAACAAGTAACAGTGACATGTACCTGTTCCTAATGTAGCTGCTATAGTAGTAAATGTACTCTGGTTGCCCTGAACCAAGGTCAGAGCCATCAGAAATGGCTCATGTGCTATAGCTAGCTTGGCTCTGCTCTAAGCTAATACACTGTCATTGGGCAGCTCTAACACATCGGAGACATGGAAGGAAGGAAAGAGATGTGTGACTTGGGAGAGGAGCGAAGCACCATCTTTTTTTTTTTTATTTTTTTTGAGACAGAGTCTCACTGTGTTGCCCGGGCTAGAGTGCCGTGGCATCATCCTAGCTCACAGCAACCTCAAAATCCTGGGCTCAAGCAATCCTCCTGCCTCAGCCTCCCGAGTAGCTGGGACTACAGGCATGCGCCACCATGCCCGGCTAATTTTTTCTATATATATTTAGTTGTACAATGAATTTCTTTCTATTTTTAGTAGAGACGGGGTCTCGCTCTTGCTCAGGCTGGTTTCGAACTCCTGAGCTCAAACAATCCGCCCGCCTTGGCCTCCCAGAGTGCTAGGATTACAGGCGTGAGCCACCGCACCCGGCCACGAAGCACCATCTTAATTGGCGTGTCACATTCACATAACTGCATTGTAACTTATTAGGGATAGTGAATCCAGGCCCTGCCTCATAAGAAATTTGACAAAAAGTAGTAGGTGAATAGGAAAAGCTTTATTCCAGGGATAGTACTTAACAGGTCACAAGATTTTGTAAAATTTTGATGAGAATTACATGTATAGGCTAGAGATAGCCTCTCTGCATTCTTTGAATTTTAGAGAAGCTCCCCAGGACTCCAGTGCAATATCAGAGCTAATGTTACCTATTTGAGCATTCATGGTCCTTAGAAAAGAGGGATCTAGATAGGGCTAGAACAGACTTTTCATGAAACAACTATTAATTTTGACTCCGAGAGAAAGAACAATGAAGTAGGAGTCAGATGTGATTTCTAGTCCTGATTTTACCAGTGCTAGTTATAAGGCCTTGAGTAAGCCTTTGAGCATGCTACTGAAGCCTTTACTCTCCAGATACAGTCTCCTTACATTTCAAGGTTTCTTTATATAAAGTAATGGATATGAACTGTTTATAAATTATAAAGCTTTATGCAAATATTATAATCTATTTGTTGACATGTATTGATACTAAATATTTTTATCCCATAGATAGGAACAATGAAATAACATGGAAAGTGCCTGTACATAGGAGATGATTGATAAATTGCTGCTGACATTATTAAATTTATTATCATTGTAAAAGATATCTTTAGTTCTTCTTTTGCCAAAGTATATTCTATAGGTTACTAATTCCATGAAAATTAGTGAAACAGGGATTTTGTGATTAAAAAAGTTTGAGAAATATCACATATAATATCCTTCTCTTTCTCTCTTGGAAATTTACCCTACGTAGCAGTATATTATTAAAGGCTCTGAGATGTTGTTCTAAATATATCTATTTAATTTTACCTTTGTCTTTCAAATGTATTTGACCACTCAGTTCTTTTTCTCTAAAACACCTATTAGCATCCTACATTTTGTGAAGCTCTGTTACAGATAGATCATTATATCACAATTGCTCGCCTGGTTTATTTGTATTATATAAGCAAAGGAATTCCCTACCACTCAGTTAACTTAAGCTTGGACTTTGGCTAGTTAAATTTCCTGTCCTTTTTTGTTGTTGTTATTCCTGACAGAGTACCAGCCCACTAAATGACTTTATATGTGACAGTGCTTTGAAAATAAAAATGGGTACATAAAAGTTAGTACTCTTACAGTTGACTTGACTTCACAGGTCAGACTTCAGACGTTGGAACATGTCTGTGGATCCAGAAAACAGTTATAGTAAACGGCAGGAATAAGCTCACCTCATAATCATGAGAGACAGAATTTCCCTCAGGCCTTCACTTAGATAATAATTGGTAAAATAGGGCAGTAAAATAAAAGCATAAAGGCATTAGTATAATAGGAGGAATACTGAAGCCAGAAGAGATAAACAACTGTGGTTGACATCTATGATGCTAGATCATGAGATCCTTGAGAACAGGGACTGTGCCTTATTCACTCTTACATGTCTGCTACCCTATCATGGCATTGATGTTCAATAATTATTCCTTGAATAAGTTAATGCTATCCCTGAACACTTAAGAAAAGGTTAGATTCTATTTACTGTATTCTGTGTAAGAAAGCAGAAAAGTAGGTGATTATTCTAAAGGCTTTATCAAATGACAGTGAGTCATTTACACATGACTGATACATGAAGAAGTTGTATAACATAGTCAGAAAAATCTCAAACTCCAAGAGACACAAAGCCAAAGGTCATGAAAAAATAGTTCCTGGGGAACAGACAAATATGGGGAACATTCATCCTCCCTAATAATCAGATATCATTCATAGGTATCATTTTGTTACATATCAATTTAATAATGTTTTTCAAAATGAATCCTCAGTGTTGACACAGGTACCAGAAAACAGACACATTCAAACATTGCTGGTGGTGTTGTAAATGAATAGAGCTCTTTTGGAAAGTAATTTAGCACTGTGATTGAATCATCAAAATATTTATACCATTTGACACAGAAGCTGCACTTCTAGGATTCTAAGTTCTAAGGAAATAATAACAAATACAGGAAAAGCTATTTGTTTAAAATTAATAATCCTAACGTCCAACAATAAGTAAATGGTTAAATAAACCAGATATACCTATAAGATAAAATACTATATACCCTTTTAAAAGTTTTCCTGCACACTATGGAAAAAAGCTCATGAGTGATTTCCCCCCCATTTTTCTATATTCTAGGTTCTCAGTTACATGGTTACTACTTTCATAATGTAAAGACTGTTTTTTCCTTTAATGGAAACTATTTTCAGAGGAAAAAGATTGTATTCAGTTCTGGATCCCACAATTTAAAGAGAGATTGACAAACTTGTCCAGAAAAGAACAGCCAGGATTAGAGTACTTGAAACTATAGCATTTAAGGAATAGTTGAAAGAACTGAAAGTGTTTGGTCTGAAAAAAAGAAAGACTTGGGAGACATAATATTTGTTTTCAACTGTTGTAAGAAGAAAATCAGCCACATCTATTTAACATTTACTGTGTGTCAGGTACTATGCTAAGTGCTTAGGTACATGATACCATTTAATGTAATCTTTTGAGATGAGGCAGATGAGGACATGGAAATTTAGAGAAATCACATAGCCAATGACAGCACCAAAACTCAAACGTAACTGTGTCTGACTCCAGTATGTGTATTTTTCTAAAGATTGGTTCTGTGCTGCCTAAGAGGGAAGACTCAGGGCAGAAACTATAGAGACCTAGTAGGAGCTATTTTTAAATATAATGTAACACTTCCCCCACCCAAATCCAAGCTAAACATATTTTAGACGTATCAGAATTAGAGAAGGAATACATTAGAGAAAGAATACGGAAAGCATGTTTTGCCTGAAACATACCAGATTGTAAAATTTTGGGGAGTTGAGCATTTTGATACACATTTACTTAATTGTAATTGAGTACCACTGTTTTAGGCAATGGGAGCTATTGAAGAGCTTTAAAAAAATCAAGGTGCTAGTAAAGATGACGGGGCAAGCAACACAAATGGAGGCAAGGAGACTAGTTAGAAGGCTGTTTTTGTATTGCTCATTTCTGAATATTTGATATCTTATGGAGCATTAATTTCTCTCAAAAAGGAGAAAGTTCATTTAGATTTTCCACCATGTAAAAAACTACTTAGAATAGTACTATTTTAAGCTACCCAGCTTATTTATGAAGGTGCCATCAGTCTAATATTAAAATAAAGCAATGACAATGTAGGAAAATTAATCCAATCTCACTTATCAAATAGATGCAGAGTCTTGAGTAAAATAACAGCATATTGAATCCAGTAGTGCAGTAAAATAATAATACACTGTGACCAAGTAGGTTTTAACCCAGGAATGTAAGAATGGCTCAGCCTTAAAAAAATCTTACCAGTATGATTCATCTTTCTTACCTCACTTGATGCCCCAAAAGGACTTGATCAACTATAGTTATCTACTCATGTTGAAAAATCTTGACAACTAGGAATAGATGAAAAACTTCACAAACTTTATAAAGTTTATATGCTAGAAAATTGTGTAAATATCATACTTAGTGGTGAAACATTAGACACATTCCTTTTAAAGTCAAGGATAAGACAAGGGTGCTATTTTCAATGTTATATTGCAAGTTCTAGCCAAACAACAAGACAAGAAAGAAAAATGATTTTTAAAGATGTGAAAATAATAGCTAGAACAGTCATTATTTGTAGATATTGTCTCCCTAGAAAATTAAAGAAAATCATGTGACAAACTAAGCAATAGTTTTCAAAGTCAATATTTTAAAAATCTGTTTTTCCTAATATTAGTGCTTACTAAATTTGAAAATATAAGAAAAATGATTCTATTCGTAAAAGCAACAAAAACATAAAATACCTGGGAATAAACCTTATTTTTAAAAAACATAATACATTTATGAAGAAACAATAGAACAGAAGGCTTTAAAGGAAAATCTGAATAGGGAAATTCATATTTCTATATGAATCTGGCTAACCTAATTAAGAACCCAATGGGATTTTCATGAGACTTAATCAATAAACTGAAACTCATATGGAAGAAGAAATGTGTAGGGACAACCAAGATAATTTTGAAAGAAAGGGAGAGAGAGGTAACTTGCCCTCTCGGATATCAAAACATATTCTAAAACTCTATCAATTAATAGTATAGTATTGGCAGAAAGAATAAAGAAATAAACCCATGTATCAAAAGAAATATATGCTATGAAAATAAAAATCCAAATGGATTAAAGGACTGAATTTAAAAAACAAACCTTAAGAACATTCAGATAGGACCTTGTGGCAGGCCTTCTTAAACCTAGCCAAAAGAAGTAAAAGCCATAAAGGAAAGATTGATTAACCTGACTTTGCTAAAACCAAAACTTCTAGACATGATACCTTAAACACAGTTATGTGTTAGGTAAAAAATATTTGAAATATGTGCAATGTAAATAACAGGCAAAGGGTTAATACTTTCATTATATTAAAAAGAATAAAAATCTACAAAGCAGTAAGAAAAAAAGACAACCCAGTAGAAAAATAGGCAAGAGATATGATGTATCAGTTCACAGAAGAGGGAAATATTAATAACTGATAAATTTATAAAAATGGCACTATCTTACTATAATGAGAATAATAAAGTAAAAGAATACTACTTTTCACTTATCAAATTGGCCAAAATTATTATTTGAGGATATCATGTGTTCGTGAAGATACCTATTTCTCCACACCTTCACCAATACTTGATATACCTCTCAGAACCTCTTTGGTCACCTACAAAAATTATGCTAATATTTATCGAACCTACTTCTTAGGGAGATACCTTGAGAGTATCTGAGATAATTTGGTGGACATAACAAAGTGATACAGAAGCATGTTATTACTACCCAGATCTTATTGCCAGTCTTGTCTCTTGTTCTCTAGTCTAGAGTTAGGCTAGTGGGCCTCAGTTTTGGCTGTACATTAGAATCACCTAATTAGAATTATATATAATATACAGATAACCCTGTCCCCTACCTCAGTTGACCTAAATCAGAATTTCTGGTGGGTTAGCAGTAGTATTTCCTGAAGCTCCTTAGGTGGTTCTGTTATGTAGCCAGGGTTGAAAACCACCTGGACCCAGGCTATTTGGATTTGAATCTTGGTTGTGCCACTTACTAGCTATTTAGCCCTGGGCAATTTACTTAATCTCTTTGTAAAATGTCCTTATCTAAAAAATGATGAAAATTATATCTAAATAGAGAGCTGTGAGAGAATTATATCTAATAGAGAATTATATCTAAAGAGTTGTGAGGAGAGAGATAATTCATTTGAAGCACTTAGATTGGTAACCGGCACATAGTAAGATTTAATAGGTATTAGCTTATACTGCTACTGTTGCAATTATCCTGACACAGATTCTGGTGAGAAAATGGTTGCATCAGTCTAGTTCTTAAATAGCTGCTTTTCACTCATCTATTTCAGAAGTAACAAAGTTGTACTGTTTGAGACAAGGTCAAGAGTAGCTATCATAGATATGCTGTGACACTTTTTTATTATCTTTAAAGCACATGTTACTCTGTGAATTTACTTTGCTCATTTATTTTTTTCTAGTCTTCCTCTGTCACACTAGAATGTAAACATCATGAGAACAGGGTCATTGCCTATCTTTTTCACTACTATAACCCCCCTTCCTTACTTGTTTCATACCAGATTTTTAGATGTAATTTACAAAGATTTGTTAAGTAAATGAAAAAGTTGTTTTTAATACTCTTAGTGTTTTCTCACAGGCACATAATGATTGTAAATCATTGCTTTCAAGTTAAAAGTTAGAACTGATTCCAAGTCATTGCAGAAGTTAAAAAAAGAAAGGAAGAAAAAAAGGTTGAAATTAACAGTTACTGACTTCAAATGTATATTTTGTTTCTGTTTTGTAATCCTGGTTCTACCTTTTATGTAGTGCAATTCAAGCAAATTTATTCCTTTTTTTTTTCTTTTTCAATTATAACTAACTTCAGTGATTTCTTTTTTAATACATTTTTATTTAACTATGCACAAGCTTGTACATCTGTCTTAAATGAATCTTTGGTAGATTTCATGACTTGTACTGCTTTCAGGGTTATTTCATGATTTGAATGTCATGTTTGTGTGATGTCCTGAGCCAAGATAATAAACCGATTCATGGTCCCTATCTAGGGGATTCTCTCTCCAGAATAAGGAAAAGATATCCAAGGAATATGGATGAAAACCACAGGTAATAGCAGAGCTCAGAGGTTCACCGCCTAAGGAATGCCTGAGGAAAGGCTAGGAAGAGTTAAGTTTGAAAGAGAGATTTAGGTAGAGAAAGCCATATTTTTGAAGTTAGAGTCCAGAATATATACCAAAAAATCATAGTATCATCATTCTTTTATTTTGCTTAAAAGTGGAAAGTCTGGGGAATGGACACACTTGAAGCTCTGACTCGGGTGGGGCAAAGGCAGTATATGTAACCTAAACATTTGTACCCCCGTAATATGCTCAAATAAAAAAATTTAAAAAGTGGAAAGTCTTCTTTTGGTTTTCTGGGAATTTGGTTTTCTGGGGTTCCTTGTATTCTGATGGCAGTTCATTTAACAAAATTATCATTGGTAATTGGGCAAAATTTGCTATGCCAGATGTATCTTACTACTTTTCCTTTTTCCTCCTAGGCAGCAATCATTAGTAGAGTTCAGTGTAGGATTGTGGCTTTGGATCTGCGAAGTCATGGTGAGTAAAGTTCTTAGCCATTAACTCAATGACATAGTCACCAAGCCTCTTTGAAAAGTCTTAACAATAATATTACAGACTTCAGTATAGCCATAAAATAACCCAGTCTATTCTATTTGGGCATTTACGGGGAAGTCCTAGTTTCTAGTCTTCATGAATGTGTGTGTGTGTGTGTGTGTGTGTGTGTATTAAGATTAACTTTTCTGCAAATAAAATTAAAATGCTATTAATATAAAATCACATATACACATCATTTTGGAGAAGTTAATGACAAAAGAGTTTCATTGCTTTTTAGTAGACCTCACAGAAAACTTAACATTGAACATTTTTAAAAAATTAATTTAGTAATTTTCCAAATACTTGGCACCAACCACATCTTCTAAAGCATTCTGTCCACACAGGGAAAGTCAAAGGGCCATGATCACCCATGTTACTATTTTAAATATGTGTCCCCCTTCTAATTATTCCCCAATCATATAACTTTGAGGATTGGATTCCATGGAGGAAGCATGGCTTCTAAAGTGTCAGAGAGAGAATAATATTTAAAGTGTGACATGAGACATGAGGCCAAACACACACAAAGTCTCTAGTTTCAGGGATATTGATGGGTCCTTGTCCCAATATATCTCTTCTAGTGCTACCTTTTCCCCCCATGTAGATGAGAGATTTTTCTAGCCTATTGTAGTTGAAGCCTATCTGATGTTGACTATGAAATTGGATGTGTCTGAGTGTCCTGGGGTTTCTGTCCTTTAGCTGTGTTAGGACAATTGAGACAAACCTCTAGGATCCCTACAAATTCTGATATACATTATTCATAATGGTTTTCCATTAGACTAAATTGCTCTAGTTCCAATTCAAGTGTCTCTGGAAATCCACTATAAATCTTTTTCTATTCGAGAAACCAACCACTTATCAAAATAAATAAGTAAATACATTCTCCTCTTGGCCGGGCGCAGTGGCTCGCACCTGTAATCCTAGCACTCTGGGAGGCCGAGGCCGGTGAATCGCTCAAGGTCAGGAGTTTGAGACCAGCCTGAGCAAGAGCGAGACCCC